ATGCTTTAAGTAGACCAAAAAGATTTATAGGACTTTTGATTGCTGGAATTATGGCTTTAGTGACTGTCATTGCAACTGCTGCTACTGCTGCAGTAGTTCTTTCACAAACTGTTCAAAATGCGCATTATGTTAATAACCTTTCTAAGAATGTTACCTTGGCTCTGGGAACTCAAGAAATTATAAATGAGAAATTAGAGCAAAAGGTAAATGCCTTATATGATACAGTTCAATATGTGGGAGATGAAATTCAGAGTATTAAGGTCAGATCTCATTTGGTATGTCATTCGGAGTATCATTGGATTTGTGTAACCCCAAAAATGTACAATAGTAGTCAGCATGAGTGGAATAGAGTTCGTCTGCATCTTCAGGAAATATGGCATAATGCTAATCTGTCTTTAGACATGTTTCGGCTTCATGATGAGATAAGAAATATGAAAAAAGCTGAACCCTTAAAATTTGATGCAGCTCAAGCTGCCTATAAGTTTGTTGAAATGGTGAGAAACTCCTAACCCTCTATGCCAAATATTGCCCATTCTGTTATGGCGTTTCTTGCATTGGGCCTCTGTGTCTGTTTGGTTCTGTGCCTACTCCCCGTCCTCATTAAATGCTTCATTAATAGGATGTTGGAGATTCAAGCCAATATCCATGAGATTAAGCTTAGGGTGATGCTTTAAGACTGGCCGCCTGTTCATTTGCTCCACTCCCCCCACATTTAGCGAAGGCAGGGTAGTCAATGACAGGTAAGATTTCCCTGGGGGTAATCAACCTAAGACAGGGTTTGATCCTAAGATGATCAAATGCCAATGACGGGTAAGGTTATCACTTACAAGGGAAACGCCTAAGACAGGCACTGTCTTTCGCTGCCACCTGGGGTCACAGGTGTGCTTTATTAAATAAAAAAGGGGGAGATGTTGGGAGCCATGCAGGCTGACTTTACTGATTGCATATCTTGTTTTACTTCTTGTTTTACTTGCACCTGGAGGGTGTTTTGCTTAATCTCCAAGTTTGTGGAGAGAATGGCCAGTGCCTTGGGAGACACAATAAAGATAGATGGCTATCTGGGATTATGGAAGAAATTGTCCCCACTGACCTTTAAGTTTCTAAGTGGATTATCAATGAATTACTCTGGAATGAGGTAGTGCGTATTTGTCCTTTCTTTTTTGTACTCACCCTGAATGTATATAATGGTGGTGGAAAATAAACTCGGGGCTTCAGTATTTACTGGAGTCCCACCGGTAACTCTCTCTTCTGTCTCTTTTCTTAATCCTCGCGCCCCCACTCAGGACTGTTCAACATATCGGCTGGTTCCGATAGGGCTGGCACGTTCAGGGACACGAGGAGGTCAGCAGGGCTGGAGGCAGTGGGGCCAGAGGAGGGCCGATCAGGGAGGGTCTTGTTGGCCACCTAAGGACTTTGGTCTTGACTCTGGGTGAGATGGGACACACTGGGGGCGGTTGTGAGACGAGGAGGCATGACTGACAGATCTTGCACTTGCATCCTATGGGCTTCTGGGTGGAAAACTGGAAAATGGCTGCCCCCGTGAGGCCAAAGCAGGGTGATGCAGGACAAGACGGGCCCTGGGCTGATCTGCAGGTGCCAAAGGATAGCCCCTCTTGGGCCCAGAGGGGCCCTGCGGGGCTGCCCCACCTTAGAAGGAAGCCTCCCTCTGAGGGAAGTGTCCTCAAGGCCATGGAGGGCAGCCTGCATCACCACACTCCAGCTCCTTCCCAGTTAGCGGAGGAAGGCAGGGGGAGCAGAGCCCAGTGGCAAGACATCCTGTGCCAGTCTCCAGGAGTGCAATCCTCTCCACCTCGTGGCCTTAAATCCCTCCTGTCGCCACATGGCACCCTTCTTAGTCCATGTGGAAACTGAATGACAACCATCTGAGGTGGGCAGATGGTGCCGCATCCAAGCATCAGGAGAAGTGAAGTTGAGAGGGTGAGTTACGGGTCACAGATGTGGGAGGGGCTGGCTATCTGGGCTTTCCCACACTCTCTTCCCCACTCCCCCAGGGCTTCAAGTCCAGACTGGTGTCAGGCAGAAGGAAAAGTACTGTAAGCCATCACCCAGATGGAACAATTATCAACACTTTGATGTATTTGCATCTGGTATTTTTTTCTGAACTATTTACAGATTGTTGTCCTAAAAAAACCCAGAAACCAAAAAACAAAGCCAGTCAGTTATTTATCAGCAGAAATGGGAAACAACAAAGAACTGGAATTTGAGACATGCAAGCTATGGCAAAACCATACGCAAGTGGGCAGAACAGAACAGGAGAACTTTCTTTTATAGAGGAAAGGAGGGAGTTGGGAAGGACTGTTACAAAGAGCCCATTGGAGGAAATGGAGTTGGAAGTGTCTTGGTTTCTCATTGGCCTGTTTGTGACAGTCTCTCATTGGCTGAGCTATTCCCAGGTAAGGAGAAAATCTTCCTCCTACTGGGGTAGTAACAAAAAACATCTGTTGGCGATGCAGGTGTCTTTTCCTATTTGGGGTAATTGACAATGAATGGTAGGGCAGGAGAGCTCCCCCTACATGCCCTCCCACTCCAATTCTGGTTGAGGTTTTCTTTATTTTCACAAGAGATTATGTCATTTTACCCTCAAATTCTTTAGGATGTGTCTTTAAAGAACAGTGACATGGCATCGAAGTTGGCCTGTATGGTGACCTGGGCCTGGCATGTGGACACCCTGAGCACAGGATGGCAGAGAGAGCTGTCCAGCAGTGTCATCAGCATTGTGGAGGACGGTCCTGGTGACTGCATGGACTTGGGAGCAGGTCTTGATGCCCCCAAGAGGCCGTGGGGCGGCTGGCCTGCCCCCCAGGACAGACCCCCTGAGATAGGCTCCCAATCAGGTTTTGCCCTGCAGCTCCCTGGCCCATCCTCAGTGTTTCCACCTGGGGATGCTGCCGGCTGCCCTGAAGCAGGTCTTCTGGGCTGTTGGCTCCCAGCCTTCAGCTCAGGCACAGCCCCCAGCCCCCTTCCTCCAAGAAGCCCTCCCAGAAGCTCACAGTCCTTGGTGCCTTAGCAGGGCCTGGCTGAGGTCTGCCCAAGTGGGAACCTGGTGGGCCCAGGACAGGGTCCTGGAAATGGCCTCCCCAGCAGGAAGCAAGGGGCAAGGCTGCGAGGGAGACCACACTCCAGCAGGGCTCTATGGTCTTGGGGCCCAGGCAAGAGGCTAGGTACTGGGGGGCGCTTAGGTAGCCAGAGAGGATGTGAGGTTGGTCTGACTCCAGCCCACTCGGTCAGGCTGTTTCAGTCAGTGAAGTGGGGGCCAGACACTCCAGCCACCTTCTTCTTTGTCTCTGGAAACCCTTATCTTTGCCCAATCCCAGTGTGCTAATCCTGCAGCTTCAAAATCCACGGGGGAGCAAACTCCCCTTGGCCTTGGGCCTCTCCTGGCTGGTAAGGGGCAGGCTGTAGCTGGAGGGGCTGAGGGGAGGTCAGAGCCGTGCGTGGAGTAGATGGGGACTGATGGCATGTCCCCTTAGCAGCCCTGACTTCTGACCTGGCCCACCTCCCCCACCCCACCAGAAGCAAACACTAGTGAGCCCTTGTCCACCCCTTGTCATGCAGAACAGGGGTGGGGAGACAGAGGTGGTCAGGTCCCCAAGGGAGCCAGCCAGAGCCAGGCCCAGGGCAGTGATGGATGACTACAAGGACAGACAGAGAGCAGCCAGGCTGCTGATTTGCTTCCAGAGTTTATTCTCAGACGAAGGAGAAAGCCGAGGGGGCAGAGGCGGTGGTGGGAAGAGCCATGGCTGGGGTCTTGGAGGAGAACGGAGCAGGGCGGGCTGACCAGGTCTTGAGGGCTGGGGTCACCTGGCCAAGAAAGGAGGACCTGCAGCTGGAGCAGGCAGTATGGCCCTCCCTGCCCCAGGGTCTCCAGACTCTTTGGGGCTCCACCCTGCAGGGGAATGAACCCCTGTCCCAGAACTCCCTCAGCAAAGGGCACCAGCCTCCCCTGACCTCCCCACATGTTCCTGTCCCAGCCTCCAGCTCCTCCTACCCTCAACAGCCGCCTGAACCCCAGTGAAGACCCCTTCCCCATAGACCGGCCCGTCTGCCTGGGACCACCCTTGCATGGTGGAGTGTGTGTGTGCTGAATGAATGAATGAATGAATGGGGACTGTTGGGTGAAACCAGGCCATAGCCCACCCACTCACCTACTTGTGCTACTCCAGGCACTTATCTGCAAAGAAAGAAGGGGAGCACGGTCATTGCCCTGGGCCAGGGCCACTTTCCCGCACCCTCAGCCCTGGAGACTTGGTCATGGTTGACCCCCAGAACTGCCGACGCCATCACACTCCATCACTTCACCCCTCCCCCAGCCCCAACCTGTCCCAGAGTGGGCCGTCTGCCCCCCGCTGAGGCCTCAGGGAGCCCATGCCTGAGCCCCAGTGTGCTGGTGCCGTGTTCCCACAACGCCGTTATCCCACAATGCCGTGTTCCCAGAGGCACTGCCGCCCCACGGGTTCCATTTCTAGTGCCTGCCCCCCAACAGGCTGGGGACCAACCCCTGTGTCCTGGGGACTGACCAAGGCCCACACATTGGGTGCTTGGTGAATCTGGGGAGGGGGGTTTCTGGGAGAAGAAACATGTTCCATGTCCCACCTCCCCCACCAGGGGCTGTAGGTCAAGGTCATGCGGTGAGGACAGACTGCCCCCCTCTGGAGGCCACTTGCTGGTCAGTAGGCCTGTGGCCAGATGAACCCCACCCCTCCACCTTCCCTGAATCAGGAGACAGCCCGCCTCTGATCTGACCTAATCTCTTCCCCATCAGTCTAGCAGCCCCCTCACCGATTTGGGGCAGGAAGACAATGGTGTCCTCTGTGAAGCCCTGGGCCTCCGCGAAGGTGGTGAATTTCTCCTTCACTTCGGCCCTGGGGGTCTGGGTACGGCCTGGGGCAGGAAGGAGAAGCAGAGGCGGTCTCTGCTCTGCTCCCCACTCCATGGTGCCCCAGTGGGTCCCTGGTGTGGGATGGGGCACGTACTGTAGAGGAAGGCCATGTGGGTGTCCTGGCCGAGGGCTGTGGTGCCCGAGGTGTAGAGCAGGGCGTAGTCCTCATAGTCGGTGTCCACCACCCACACGGCATGCGCGCTGCCCGAGTCTGGGAACCCACAAGGCCACCCGTTGGGGACCCTGCCTCAAACCTCCGGTCCAGCTCGGGTTAGGCGGGGGCGCCCTCCGCTGGCTGGCTGTGGGAGCGGGCCCTGGGTGCCCTGCCTTGAGCTGGTTGCCTTCTCCACCCCCTCTCCTATTTGGGCAGCTGGCCAGCTCCCTGCTTTCTGCCTGCACAGCCTATAAACTGCAGGGCCCAGCGTTCCCAAAGCAGAAGTCCTGGGGGGCCAGCCAACACACAGGCCAAAGGGAAGAGGAGAGATTTTCCAGTGGGGAAGCCATCCCTGGGGAGAGCGAGGAGGCCCGGTGTGCGGGGGGTTGGGGGTTGCCTGTGTTCACCCCGCCCGGCCAGCAGGAGGGGGCAGCAGAGATTCGGGGAAGTTCCGTCCTGGGCCAGGGCGTGGCCCTGCAGGACGCGGCTCCAAAGTGGGTCCTGAGCGGAGAGACAGGGTCCCCGGTCCACCTCCCCTGAGCTGGGGCACGCCCAGGCCAGGCATTGGACTCGCTGACCCTGGTGGCGTGGCTCTTATCCCACTCGTGCACTGCTGAGGCGGGGGTTGGCCCAGAATCACCCGCCAGCAAGTGTTGCCCAGGGCTGGACCCAGGGGTCCCGGAAGGGGGCCCCCACTCACGGGGACTCGTGTAGCTGTAGTGGCCCGGCGGGCCCGCGGGCCGCAGCAGCAGAGTCCGGGTATCGCACTGGTTTTTCCTGCGGGCGGGTGGCTCTCGGGTCAGGATCATGTCCTGGGTGTCCCTAGACCGCCACGGGGAGGGGCGCTCTGGTCCCCGGAAGCCCGCCCAGCCGTCCCACCTGAGGAAGGTGTTGGTGAAGTTGAGGCCACCGTCCGCCATCGGGGCCACCACCGACTTGCACATGTACAGATTCTCCTTCTTCTCCCGCAACCAGCTCGAGTTGGAGGCGAGGCCCGAGGTGAACCAGCGCCCCAGGAACTGCGGCGAACAGCCCCCGTCCGGTCGGCCAGGATCCTCGCGGGCCCGCGGGGGTGGCGAGGGTGGGGCCCCTGCCCCTGCCCCTGCCCCTGCCCCTGCCCCTGCCCCT